ACGTGTTTATTCAAATAAGCTATATAAAAGCAATACTACTTATCTCTATGACTTTTGACTTACACTGAGGCAGAAAGATTTCTCTTTTTTACAACATTCGCGTTACCTATTCGCATCAGTATAAAACCCATTTCTTTTTTGCGTTGTGTTTTTTTAACCCTTTTGATAACCATTTGTAATTGTTTATAACAAATGTGATATGTTTTATCTATATTTAAAATGCTATCACATTTGCTCCCCATATTTGAATTGCACTATAAAATTTAATAAGCAAGCTAACGAATAAAGATATTATTTCAATATCTGCTAATTGTTAGCGTCTTTTGCGATAAGCTATGCTACATATGAATTATAACATACGTTCAATAGTTTGTACATTTATGTCTTAAAATAGTGTTAACAATTAAACTTCAAAAATCTAATAAAAATATTTAGTTGAATTTATTCTATTAAGTTTTTTTGTGGCTTATTGTTCAGATTAGAAAGTCAAATAATTTAATTTTGGTTGATTTTACAAATAACATGTACAGAGGATTGTTTTTCATGGTTGTACACGAAGAGAGTGATATAAAAGAGTCACAGGACATGAAATTTGTATAAGGTTTATAGATCCACCAATTAAATTCGCCAAATTTTTCAACACCTTATCTTAATTAGTAGGAGTGTTTTGTGTATAGTTTGTCTAGGATTTTAATGGTTGAATGATAGTACATTTCTCGAGCATCTTACTAATCAATGTTTTTTTGGGGGTAGGGAAATTCATTCAGAAAAAATTCTTAATTCTTACTTTTTATATCTTATATTGTTTAATGAAATATTTTAAAAATGTCTGGAATTTTAGTTTAAATGGCATGGGTGAAAAAGGAATTGTGTGATGCGTTGTTAACTTTCCTTTTCTAGAAAATTTTTGTTGGCTGTGCGGCTTAGACATTTAAACTTATTGCAGAGATCAACTAACAGAGAAGGATATCAAAAGACCATAACAGTTCAGTTAACGGCTAGTTGAGATACCCAGTTGATTTCGTTGTCATTGTCAGTTCGCTTAAAGTAGGAGGTGAACGAGGAGTATTTCTTTAGAACGTATGCGGAAATTAAAGGAGCGTGACTCTATGCTACGAATGAAACGATCCACATTTCACGCTTCTAAGAATTTATCGTTTGGGTTACTTCATTTTCCTTTCGTCGTTATTTATTTGACAAGATTCGTCTTGTGGAACTTAAGAGCATATTTGTTGAGTCTTAGAGGCTACTTTTCAAGAGAAGTCTTAAAGCGTAATGCAGCGAAAGAGGTTTAACATCTCTAATACAAATATTAACAAATGTTCCTTATTTAAAATAAGAAGGTAAATGTTTTGAATAGAATTTCCATGAAACAATCCACAATGCATGAAGTAAGATTTAATCTGAATATATTTTGCTGTTCGTTCGTGATAAATATATTTTGAATGCTATATGAAGAAATGAACTTAACTTAAAAGCAGACTGAACAAACAAAATATCGAATAAATGAGTTTCTGTCTCGCTATTATCTTATGCCCAAGATATTGTGTAATGCCAGAAAAGGCGATATATGTGAATTTAATGTGTTTTTTGCACTGTAGCTCATTTACGTCAACACGTGTGGCATTACGTCACTTATGCCACCTTATTAATATTTGAACAGAATAAAAAAGTGAAAACAAACTATTCTCATCAGTTAAATTTTGAAAACAATGCTTATTTATTAATGTATGTATATTTCTGTGACTTTTGAATGTAAAATGCACTATTTATGCAATCAGTGAATATTTCAATATGGCCCCTCTTCCTCCTTGAACAAGCCTTACTTTAACGGCATTTTTAACCATAGTTAGTTACATAGTTGTAACTTCGTATGTAAATAATAACAACAAAAACACAATGAAAAGTTAGTAAGTCATATGATTAATTTAAGTAGTTAATATATCGAATAAATAAAATCACGAACAGTACATTTTTTGTGTTGAGGATTCATCTCAGTAATTTAGATTTAGGACTTAACAATGATCATTAAAATTTAAATGTCAAGAAAAATCATAGTGTATTTAGAATATAGAGATGTAAAATGATTGAATTGTAAAGATAAAACAACTAGTGTAAGATGATACAGACAAGAAGAAAATACAAATACCGTAGTTCTCTGTCACTGCCCCCCAGTGGCACAGTGGTATTTCTGTGGACTTACACTCCTAGAAACCGGGTTTCGATACTCGTAGTGGGCAGAGCACAGATAGCCCATTGTGTTAGCTTTGTGCTTAACTACAAACAAACAAAATTTCTGTCACTTGGGCCTGGTATGACCTCGTGATTAAGACGCTCGACTGGCAATCCGAGAGTCGCGAGTTCGAATCCCCGTCACCGAATATGCTCACCCTTTCAACTGTGGGGCGTTATAAGTGGTAACCAATCCCACTATTCGTTGATGAAAGAGTAGCCCAAGAGGTGGAGGTGGCTAATGTTAACTAACTGCCTTCCCTCAAGTCTATCACTGCTAATTAAGGACGACTAACGTGGATAACTCTCGTGTAGCTTTGCGTGAAATTCAAAACAAACCTAATCTCTGTCACTTTTGATGATTCTAAGACTGCCATGCTGAAATTGTAAAAATTCATGGTTGTTATCAACAGAATATTGAATCACTTGTTATTTTTAGTAGCCAGCGATACAAATTCTTTCATTTATATATTAATCAGGCTCTCAGTTTGCTTTATAAAAGTATGCCTTGTTTTTTCAACAAAGTCTGACACCACATCTTCAAAGTTCACTGAAAGATAATAATAGTTCTGTTTGATTCAGTTTTGCCGCGATTCTTTGAAAGTGTTTAGATATATGAGGTTTAGCTTTCAGAAAAAAATGACAAATTATAACGTTAATTTTTAGATATGAAATTACCGCAGACACTTTCTATTATTAGAGTTACGAACATTATTTGAACAGTCTGTCACCGAGTCAGAATGACATTTTAGTGTGCTGATCCCCAAATAAAGCTTTTAGATATTCTCTTTTTTAAATCCTGAATAGAGATCTGAACTCGGTATATGCGATCTGAATTGTCCACAACCGTGAACGAATTCGCATGGGTTTCCACGCTATGAGGGAATAAAACCCATATCCCCATCCAAAATTTCACAAGAAAGCGATAGTGGCTGCACGTGTTGTGCAATACAAGATCTTTTTCCTCAGCTCTGTAACACCTTTAATTCTGCGTATTTGAGAGTTCTTTCGAGAGAGAATCTCGATAAAGGTTCAACGAAGCTTACTTTCCGTTGTAAGATGGCTAAATGCGGTTCTTGCTTGAAGTGAACACTTCTACTATTTTGTGCAAGAGGAACATATTAAGGCCGATCCCCTAAACCCCGTATCTTAGTTCTTTTTTTTTAAGTCAACATATCAAGCACTTTAACAGAGCACATTCTAACTTGAATACCTGACAACCCTTTGTATCTCACTCAATCCCCCGATTTCGGTCTTATCAACTCGCAGACTAAGTGCATATTTATTAATGATAGTGAATCTTGTATCTGCAAATGTAAGTAATTACGATGATCTATTGAAATATTGCTGGTTTCGTCAAAAACACACACATACCTTTTTGATTACTTTTTGTCTTTATCTCAAATATCTTATTGGAGTAGCTATTTCACTGTAATGCAATCAATCTCTATACTCACTACTGACAAAGCTATTTATACAGTTGACATCCAATTGAACCAATTTTTATTATGATAGTAATTCAGTATAGGTGTGAAAGTTAAGTCCACAAGATATTGTAAAGTGTCTTTTTTGATTGTGGCCACTTCGTCTGCAACTGATTCACAGATGTCGGGAGAAGATTGCGGGGAGGAGTGTGCATGATGTTTCAGTTACCCATGTTTCAGTGCTCTTTCTCTAATTATCGCCACCCGGTATTTTTATAAAGGTTACCTTGTGTGACAGCAATTGTAATCCAACATATAATCCATTTTTATTTCCATAGTTTTGATTTGAAAAAAAAAAGAAGAAAAACAAACACACACACTTATTTCCATTGAAATCAACAAATCACGTGTGAAAAATAGAATCCCAAACTGCACAAATACTGTAATGAGCGCCCCCTTTTGAGTTTGCAACGCCCCCGGGGGCGTTAATGAGGTACAATACATTAGTAGAAATAATTATGTTAACAACAGTTAGTTGCTTCCATTTTTAGGAAGAAATAAAGAAATTACAACTGATTATACAAATCTGTCTTTCAGTTGTTGAACATATAAATGCATCCAAGAGCTCTGTTTCGTTTTGACTTATTTACTGTAATACGGACCAAAAAACGTGTAATTTTGTAATATGACTTCTAATGAAATTCCTTACAAAGCTGGTACACGAAATGTTCACCTTTATCATCCCAATAAATTGTTTTCCTACTTTACTGAAATTTCTTAGGGTGTATACGTTCGAAAAGTCGTACACAGATTATTAAAAACAGTGGAATGTTTCCTTATACGAATATTTTGAAGACCAAGCGACACTAAGTCACGTGATTACAGTTCTTGGAAAACTAACTTGAAACCACATCAAAGTCCCGCTTTACTTAAGTGTACACACTAAATCGGGGAAAATATTACCCTTTCGGCCTTTAAATAATGAGCATAGATTTGACGATCATTTCGCAACCCTCTGTTCCTTTAGAAAGGTTGAAGAGGAAAAGAAAATACATAAAGTGTAACATCTCACAAAAAGTTTCAAGTTGCATTTTCATTAAATATATTTAGCTGCATACTACACAAAAATACGCACATCTTCATCATTCATCTGTGTTCAAACACATGTGACTTCCAGTGATAACAACATAAGGAATAGAAATAAAACCTTTTATATATACATAGTGCATTCATCGAATAACATTTATATTTCCTGTTACGGTAGATAGGCTTAGCTCTGTAGGCATTTAGAAAATATGCAAAAAATGTGTAAAAAAAGGTTATGTTTTGTTCTTCAATTTTTAGTGGTTCTCCAGAGTTTTAAAGTAGAAGTTTATGACGACTACGTGGTAACCGGAAACACTGGGGTGTTGAGATGTCGCATTCCTGATCTCGTAAAGGAATACGTCACAGTGACGGCATGGCTACAGGATGGATTATTTATCATCAGGGGTTCTTCAACGGCAAGTATGTTTGTTACGACTCAAGTAACTTATAAAATATTTGACGTGCTATTATATCTCTGCAACTAGTGTTCGTCCTACCTATGCCATTTGGGGTGATACATTCCTTTCAAATCGATATGTATGTAGCAAATATTAATATTTAATTTATAAATTCGGAAAATATCTCATGCATGCTTACTTTGTGTGTGTGCATTTTAGGTACGTTATCTAAAAGAACTTTATGTTTCATTAATTTCCTTTATTTTATCTTAACAACCAAAAGTACCCGTCCCCAGTGACGGGGATGTTTAAATTGATTTATCAAAGTAAATTATTGCATGAACTTTAAAAAGGTTAATTGTATTACACTCTTAATCTCACTCAGAGCCAAAGCTCTGAGCTACTTATATCGCCCACCGCGAAAAGTAATTGTTAAGAATTTCAGTCATGCTAAAAGCTGCTCAACAATAACATACGATAAATCTACATTTTTATTCATTAAGTTACGTTATATTTTCAATTGTGAATGATAGTGTGATTAATCCCTATCATTTTAGTGTAGAATATCCTACTTGGGAAATAATATTTGGCATCAACATTTGGCATTTGCTTGTTCTCCCATCATCTCAAAAGTGAATGTTGTGCTTTGCTAACGTGCGCAGCTTTTCAAACGGGAGACAGACAAACGCTCGGACAGTGTGTGTGTATGTGTGTGTCTATTTTAGAGCAAAGCCATAATAGTTATTTTCTGTGTCCACCGCGGGGAATCGAACCTCGTATCTTAGCATTGTAAGTTCCTATGCTTACCGTTGTCCCAGCGGGAGACCGCTCGGACCGACACCACTGTTCGCAATATATATAAAATTGCAAAAGACGTACTTAAAAACGCATGTTTTACTGAACTCTTATGCCTGAGATTTTTACAATCGATACTTTTACGTGATAATGCCTACAAGGCATTTCAAAAATGATATCAGATATTCTTTTCTCATTTTCGATGCATACGTATTACAAATGATAAGCAAATTGTCATTCAAATGATGTCTGTCTTCGATGAAATATTATCGTTGTGTGATTTTTATTTCTTTTCATTTTGTTCAAACAGAGGCAATATTTATTAATTTTCCTCATTAAACACTCAATTTCAGACGTAAGTGAAATATTGTAAATGATTTACGAGCATATATAAAATAAGTCACTTTTTTTCTCTCCCTGTAATAAACATTTCTTTTAATTTTATGAATTACACGTCATACTTCGTTGTGGCAGTTTTTGCAACTGTTAAGTAATTTTCAAAATAAAGAAGAAAATAGCTTTAGAAACCTAAGAAGACTTTCCAAAAATAACTTATAATAACATTTCTACTTAAGTACTTGACAAAAGACTATCTAAAATTACATAAGAATAGGACAAATTCAACTGTTCAAATATTATTTTTGTTTTAATTTTTTTTGTTTCATCATAATTTATATTTTTCAAATGTTTATGCAACGTGATCTTTGTGTTATATATAAGTTGTACCAAGAAATTTGATACAAATGAAATATTGTATTTTATTTTCAAATAATAATTTCCAACATAATATATTGAAACAATATATCATCTGACTACCTTTTCCTGTCTTATATAGTATACTTAAGTAATTTTTCATGGGTGTATTAAAGGCTTAGTTGACTGATCTTCTTTAAGCCTGATATCTATGTGTTCACGGTGCATCTCAATTTAAAATTTTCAAACAACGAAGTATAACTAATTTATTAGATAATTAGTTTGGATTTTTTTTCTACTCGATTAACCTTTAAGTATTTTCCACTAAATTTCTTCAGCTATTACAATTGAGAATTACTTAAAGATAATTAACTTTAAGCCAAAATAAGATTCAAAACTTCAATAATTCTGAAGATAATGTAGTTGATATAGTACCTCCTTACCATGTTATTATAACAAGTGGTTTTATTCATCAAAAGATAACTTTGGTTGTTGGAAAAAACGCATATTTAACAAGCTAAAATAAAGATACTGTTTAAAGATTATATATTTAATTTATATTACGTACTGTAAATTATATATTACAATGAATTAAGTCCCCCAGTGGCACAGCGGTATGTCTGCGGAGTTACAACGCTAGAAACCGGATTTCGATACCCGTGGTGGGCAGAGCACAGAAAGCCCATTTTTGTAGCTTTGTGCTTAAACTACAAACAAACAGACAATGAATGAAAATCAACTTTGAATAGAAACAAGAGAACGTATGTATTTGTTTCTTAGGAAAGAACTCTAGGAGCAAGAAACATCTAAGTGTTTCTAACCCAGCATTTAGAATTCGATTCTGCAAAATACTTACAAAGCTTTTTGTATATAATGATGTATACAATGGTGCGAATATTTATTGCATCATTCAATTTGTTCACCTTTATCTTCAGGATCATCGTCTATTTCGAGACCCTAATGCATGTAGGTGCAAATGTGTTTCATGGATGATGCAGTACTGTTTGATTATTAGATCAGCAGCTTTATAGGCTATATGGGTATTGTATCAGCCGTTACTTGGTTATAAAAAGACGATCTTACTGAGAGTTAGTTTAGAAGCCTATCTGCTAAAACGTGCGTGTGATGTTATCATGGCAAAGGGTTACGAGTTAACTCCACGGAAAAAACAGTCATTGTTTATTTGAGCAAAGAGGTACTTTCAACAAGAATATTAGTAAAATAAGTCAATTTAAAAAGTGTACTGCGAGCTGCTGTTTGCAAGGATATAGAGATGTTTGGAGAGATCGAAGAAAGGGTAGGAAGAAAGCTTCCATAGCAGCTGACGCATTAGCCTGTAGACTCACCGATTCTCGTCCATAGAACTGGAAAGAGCATGGCAGGAAACTTCAGGGATCACTGTAACTGCTCGCATGGTCTGGTCTCGCCTGTGCTCAACCGTTATCCCAGCAAGACAGCCGTCCTTAGAAAGAAGATGAGGATGATGAAGCTTAACTGGGCCAAAGAGCATGTTGAATGTACTGAAGTAACGTGGAGTAAGGTGATATTTTCAGATGAATCAAAGTTCAACCTGCACGGATCTAATGAGTGACATCTTGTACGACGTCGATGTGGATAACAGCGTGTTTGAATTCAATTGTAAATCATCCACAGGGTCAGGTGACATGGGTATGCATTTTTGGCTGGGGTGTGGAACGACTACATTTTGTGAAAGGCACTGTCAATACCGGCAAGTACATTGAAAACCTCGAATCCCGATTAAAGCCAACAATTCGGGATCACTTCGGGTGTAGCTGACCAGTACACATTTCAGGGTGACTTTGATCCTTGCCACAAGGTTAAAAAGGTTGGTCATATTCATGCAGTCTGTGCAGTGGATGTCAGATAAAAAGGAATTTCATTCTACGTGTTTTGAAAAGACATCTTAGGTTTTATTTCATTGCTTCAGGTGAAGGACTGTCTTCGAAGGGAGAGGATCAAGATACTACGTTGGCCAGGCAACAGCCCAGATCTCAACTCTATCGAAAACTGCTGAAAGGTAATGGGTAACAAAGTGCAAGAGAAGAAACTGAGAAGTATCTTTGAACTGCAGGAAGCCCTAATTCATGTGGCGTCATGAACTCATCCCTGCCTACATTCACTCTCTCATGCACTGTTTTACGCTACTTCTGACATTTTTACGATTACAGAAACCAACAAAAGTGTGAAAAATTGGGTGATGCAATATTTTTTCCACAACTGTATGATCTTTCCTACATCAAATAAATTAGATAATAAAATAAATTGCTTATTGGTCATTTCAAATGAAACCTGTTTCTTTACTAGTCAGTCTAACTAAAATTTATGATTGACGCTTTGACCTTTAACGGCATTAATCGGTTATCAGTGAGGCGAAGTTTATTTGTTTCGTTACTTGTAGCCCCCCCCCCCCCCCCATTGGCACAGAGATATGTTTACGGACTTACAACGCTAGAAACTCGGTTTCGATAACCGTGGTGGGCAGAGCACAGATAGCCCATTGTGTAGCTTTGTGCTTAACTACAAACAAACAAACAAACATTACTTGTATTAATATTTTATCATCATAAAATTGTATTCTTTCCCTTTAGCTAACAAGCAAAGAAATGAAATAATAATTAACTTATTTATAACTTGAAGTATTGAAATACGTAAATCACATGAATATTATTCTGTTATTCTGTTAAGAATTTTGTTTCATTTTGGGTTTTCTTTTAGTTATTCATATTGACTGTGAGAGTTATTATTATAGAAAAACACACACTTTTTTTCCATGAATTTCAGGCAGATATAGTGTGTTTCCAAGTGGAGAGTTTCATGTTCGAAGAGTAACTGTTTCAGACGTCCGTAAAACGTTTCGTTGTCAAGTCCGGAACCGCTTGACGGGCGAAACTCTGACAAGTTCTTCTTCTGGAAGACTCGTGGTAACAGGCGAGCCGTTTCAGTATTTACTTTTATTTATATGTCCAGAATTTAGATAAAGTCAGCGCAGATAATATAAAATATATTCGTTCGAAACACATTGCCTCACATCGAAATAAAATATAATGAATAATAACATAAGATACTGAGATTTGCAACTTTCCATTCTTAACACATTTTAAGGACTCAATATAATATCTATAAACAAGAAATAATGTGCAATTTATGTTTGTTAGCTACATATTTTATTGTGAAAATTTTTCTAAATTTAGCAGAATTCTATGCCCCAGAATATCTTAAATTCTGTCGTAACCGATATTGCGTGATATTTAAGCACCCTAAAAACATGTAAAAGCACTGTTAATGCTATTTAAAAATATATTTGTCAAATGCTCCATAGTTCATTCAACTAACTCGCTTTCCTGAACAAATGATCGTAATAATAGATTTATCAGAAACTACAGTGAACAATTCTCACTCTATTTAGTTAAAGTACTGTTTAGTGACATGTTTTGAAACATATCTTCTGCGACTTTAAAGTCAACCTTCTCTTAGACATAGATATATAATTTAATTTGTAATTAACATCTCCCGTGATTTCCCATCAATAATTACATTTTCTATAGGTATTAAAACATGGCGGTTTTAATTTTAGTTTATGATATATATAAAATAGGAATACATAAAATACATCTGGGATTTAGTGACATCGAACTTATAGATATAGAAGGAAGAATTTTGTTGTTAAAACACATAAGTGGCTGAAGAAAATATTAATAAATCTTAAATGTATTTTAGATTTGATTTTACATGAAATTTGTTCTAAAATTGATTAAAACAACTATTTAATTAAATACGTTTATTCATTGAAAATACAATTTCATTAACTTATTATTATATTAATTACCTTTTGTAAAAGTTACTTTAAAATAGTCCATTCTGAAAGAGCATGACCAACCATTTTATAAGGAATCCCTACTTACATTTATAAACATCTCATTTATTTATTTATAGAAACTAAGTTGATCATGTGATGTTTCAGATGACTGCTTGAGCTCTATACATGCACAGTTGTAGTTATATAATGATTAATTTTTAAGACATTGGGTAAGAACAAGGATCTCTTCAACTTTCAAAGGTTTGTGATTTTTGGTGATCAACTGGCAGACCATCGTTATAAAAGCTCATTTCATTGATTTCCTCTTCATGAAAACCTGTTATCAGAGTCTATCAATAATGTAAGTTGACAGGCAATGCTTATGCTACAAGTAATAGCTTTGGCCATTAACTACGGAAATATTAAAAACATGATAGGACAGACTTGTAAAGTACAATAGACGTCAGACTGTTCCCCATTTGAGTTATACTTTCAACAGTGATCATGATTCGTCTACTTGTAGCCGTGTCATGCTAATGGCATTATTAAAACTATAATATGGGACAAAATAATCAGAATGAATATATCTTGCTTCATAAACTACAGGAAAGCATAGTTTCAGTTACGTTGGTGAGTAATAAATAAATTAAAAGTGTGTGATGATATTAGCGTATGATTTGTGTTTCACTCCCTTTTTACTGGTGGTAGAGCAAATATTTGGTGAAAAAGCATATAAACCACTTCATCTCCCTTGTGTCATCCGAAAGTAATTCAAATAGCACAGCAAAGGCTTCAATCACATTTCTTAGCTAGCACGTGATGAATATGGACGTTGTGTACATTACCTTAAAACCCTGTAGACATATTAAAACCATTTGCAGAATATTCTTCTCCATGAATGGATTGCAATCAAACAAGAAATATTCTGGCACCGTGTAAAGTATATACCGTACTGAGTAGTAAGCGTATGTTATCTAGCAAACAAAATTGAAAATGAAGTATCTATAACATAAATATATATCTAAATATATTTATTTAACTGAAAGGACATTATCTTAAGATAATAATCTCCATAAATGGATGTTACCTTTCCATTAACCTTTCTGCTATACAAAATATCTTAATTACCTATTATTTGTTCTCTTGCTTCTCTCTATGTGAATTTAAATTTCTTGATATCAAACTATAATAGTATATAGATATCATTTTTCAATTAACAAGCTATATACGATTATAATACTTTCAGTTTAATCTAAGATATTATTGATAACTGTAATGTTCTTTATAACACTGTAAAGTAGCATATCTATTACACCCAATTTATTTATTATCCAATTTATTTATTCTGTACCTCATCTGAAAACATATCTTCGCTTCTATTACATGCACGATTCATATTTCTATGCTGGTTCAGTTTTGCTTACTTACCTTTGTTTGCGTCGCATGTGCTACAAAATACAAGAACAACAACAACAAAGATACTGAATGAATGATAAAGCAAAAAATATTATCTCAATGATTATTATAGATTATCGTAACATCTTATCTTTAAGTTCTTTCAGCCTTTTATAAGAGCTAATTGTTAATTCTGAGATTCATGCAAACTTCGTTATTTTGATAAAATAATGACTAGTTATTCTTCTTATTTTTTTATTATAGCAGTAATTAGTTTTATCTAGTGGAAAAGTATTTTTACTAGAAATACTTTTGCCTTGGAAATCAATAATCACCTTTTGGATAACGTGAAACACGCTTAGATTTGTGCTTGAAATTGTTATTTGTTTGTTATGTTAAAGTTTGGTTAATAATAATGAAGTTATTATTATTATTTGTACTTGTAGATGCAATAAGCATGCTTCCCAGATTAACAGACTTCAAACGTCACCTGACAGCAATGGAAGGGAATATGTTTGAGATACCCTGTGCTGCACAGGGTTCTCCTGTGCCGCTGTATGAGTGGTACAAACATGTGAGTGACGGACTCAGCCAGATTATAGATGGAAAGGAATATACTTTTCTAGACGGAACATTGTTAATCCACACTCCCAGCTCAAAAGATAGTGGAAAATACCGATGCATTGTAAAGAACAGCTTGGGATCAGAAAGTGCTGATACAGAATTGGTGGTTTTAGGTGAAAAGTCTGTTTTTTCTGGCATGTCCATAATATTCTTAAATAATTATTTTGGTGTTATATTAAACAATCCAAGTGTAAAAGAAATTTAGTTCAAAAAAGTTTCAGTCCCACCAAACATGCTCACCCTTTCAGCCGTGGAGGCGTTATAATGGTACAGTCAATTCCACTATTCGTTGGTGAAAGAGTATTCCTAGAGTTGGCAGTGGGTGGTGATAACTAGCTGCCTTCCCGATAGTCTTTCACTTCTAAATTAGGGGCCGGCTAGTGCAGATAATCCTCTTGTATCTTTGCGCGAACTTCTAAATAAACCAATCAAAGCTAATCAGCAGTGATACATTTTAGAGGTGAGGATATTTTAAGACCTGCCATTTGTTTTCTAAACGATCCTACAAATTTATTCCACTGAGACTTGGTGTCAGTCATATGAATAATAATTCTGCATCGCAACCACATACATATGCAAACACGTATTTCTGGCTGGAGAACTAGGTCTTTTATTTTACTTATAAAGTGTATTTTATTTTTGTTTTGAACGTAAGAAATTCATTTACAGGTATTTATTCTAAGACGATTTTCAAGTCTCAGTACAAATGTTCCAGGTGTTCAATAACTACTTGAAGTTTCACCAAACAAATGCTATTGATATGAAGGCTATCTAACGAAGTAGGTCTCAAACACTAAGATGTCACCGTGACATTATACAATAGATTTTGTTGTTGTTTATTATCAACGCCAGGATAAGCTTAAACAGGTTCGTTGCGAGATTTTTTTTTCTCAAACTTTTACCCACAGAATTTCCCCTTATTTTAACTTTTTGAATCATATTCGTTATATTTTATTAATACATACATAAAAGTATCCGACCTAATACTTTAAAAATGATAATTCTTTTATATCACTGTTATTCATTCTAGTTGATGCCTTTCTTTTTAACGACCCTGATAGAATATAATATTATTTTGATTAAACAGTAGAAGATATAGCGATTTAACATCTATAGTTGTATATTATGAAGCATCTCACCAACCTGTCAAATAAATTAATGGTTTTGATACCATATATTTTAATGATATCTGCGTATGCAGGACAAAGAGCCCCAATGAAAGTCAAAGACAAAATAGATCTCTTGTTCAGAAATACAATTTTTCTCTCTGTGTTAAATATGTTAAAGCGGCCCGGCATGGCCAGGTGGATAAGGCGCTCGACTCACAATCTGAGGGTCGCGGGTTCAAATCCGCATATCACCAAACATGCTCGCCCTTTCAGCCGTGGGGGCGTTATAATGTGACAGTCAATCCCACTATTCGTTGGTAAAAGAGTAGGCCAAGAGTTGGCGGTGGGTGGTGATGACTAGCTGCCTTCCCTCTAGTCTTACACTGCTAAATTAGGGACGGCTAGCGCAGATAGCCCTCGTGTAGCTTTGCGCGAAATTCCAAAAACAAACAATATGTTAAAGCCTAATATTTATGGACTTAAGATATTGTCATAGTTGATTGATTCTGCTATAACTGTTTGAGAAATATTTACCTTTAAAATTAGCCAGCATCTTGTCTTTTATCTCCTTTCTTTATTGAAATATGCTCTTTTTCTTAGTGGTGTTTAAGTTTTTAATTTCAAAAATATTATTTGACTAGGTCATGATTTAGACTAGCTTCCACTTTTTGGCGTATCGTTGAATTGATGAGCTTCCAGGCTAGTCATGTTTGTGCAAATCGATTAGATCGCTGGTTGAACAAAAAAAAAATCATTCTGTCAAGATAAAATATCCATTTAGCCATTGGATTGTTAATAGAATTGATTGTTTTAATACATGTAATGATCATTGAGAAAAACAGTGGGAATTAATTAAATCTATTGTAGTGTAAAATACACAATACCATTTACGTTTGCTAAATTAACGAAGTGTGGATTATTTTGTGCTAAATGCATTGTTGCTGCTTCTTGGCAAAGAAAGTCTAAACGTACAAATTGTTTATGTTATAATGATTATGTAATCTTTAATGTTTCATTGATAATAGTTATAGACATAGTGTATTATAAGGAGTTTCATAACATTTTGCTAACTAGTGGGTTAGTGCATGATTGATCAAAGAACGCCAATCGCCCCCCCCCCAGTAGCATAGCGGTATGTCTGAGGACTTAGAACACTAGAAACCGGGTTTCGATACCCGTGGTGGGTAGAGCACAGATAACCAATTGTGTAGCTTTATGCTTAACTTCATACAAACAAACGAATGCTGAACTTTATCGATGCACTTTCACACATATACTAAGTGGAAGAAAAACAAGGAAACTGAAAATAACCTTCTCCTGTTTAATATTTTTTTAAACATCAAGTGTTTCTCAAATAATCGATTAATGAAAGCTGTTTTCAATCTAACACAGATTTTCTGTTTTTGAAAGTGATGACAATTATTAAAGGTAATATTTACTTGCAAACATTTTACTTCGTTTTCTTTTGCTGGTTGTTAACGTTAGGGGATTGGGAACCATATATAAGTTTATGTTTTTTTTTATTTAAACTTATAGAATGTAATAATTTATTTTTCCTGTTGTTTTCAAATGGTTCAGCGGTAAGTCTGAAGACTTATAATACTAAAAACCGGGTTTCTATACCTTCGGTGGCCATAGCACAGATAGCCTGTTCTGCAGCTTTGTGGTTAACTACAAATAAACAAACAAATTTTTGATGTTGTGTTAAATAATTAAATATCACTATACTAAATGGGTTAGGTTATATATACGATATTATTATAATTGTAATTGTTAAAATCATTCAATAAATCAAATGCTTAGTATATTTCTCTCTCTCTTTTATTTATATATCAAATAAAACCGGCTTTTACTTAAACACATTGAGAAATATATGTTTCTTCGAGTTTTGAATATTTATCAGCTTTGATTTCTTGATGGACAACGTTTTTATTTAGGCGATTTTCTATGCAATGTTGCTAAGTTTGTTACTTTACCTTAGACGTTTATGAGAGTTTTCCTAACCAAACTTCCAAAAGAAAATTCTCATAAATGAACCAAAACGATTTCTGTTTTATTTTGTGTCATTACTTGTTTATATGTCTCTTATACTAAGTAATAACATTTGCGTTCGCATAATAGCACCTCTGTCTGCCAAAATACACCCTCGGCACCAAATAGTGGATGTGGGAGGAACTGCTTCATTTAGCTGTAATTACTCCGGATTTCCGATCTTATCATTAGAATGGAAAAAGGACAACAGACCTTTTCAACGGAGCGACCGAGTTAGACTGATGGGAGATAAAAGGCTTCGAATTTACCCTGTGAAAAGACAAGATAAAGGAATGTATCAATGCTTTGTCCACAATGAAATGGAGGCTGCTCAAGCTGCTACCGAACTCAGGATTGGTGGTATGTTAATGCATGTGTATAGGATTTAATTTAGTTGTTTATATATGAAACCTCATTATGACAGAATGGGGGATTTAGTCTATTGAATTTCATACTTAAATATATTTAATAGATATTTGAAGGTGTTATTAAAGTATTAAATTAATTTTATTCTGCACGCACTGTAACAAAATTAATTTATCAACTTTTATCGGTTTCAATAAAAGAATGTCTTTCAGACTAAGGTTAACTTCTATGATTGGTGGTTTCAAAGGCACGCTAAATATTTGTATTTGTGATTTTATGTAGCATGTACAAACTTACAGAAAAATTAAAATTACCTGTTATATAGACGCATTTCGTAAAATGTGTTATTATAAAAATAACTTTTCTACAAAAATCACTGAACTAAAATTTCCAGTTTCCACTGTTCAAAATTGATACAGCGTAAAGTTTGTATCATGAAGCAATATAAAATATTATCCACTTGTGCAAAAATAATTAAGACAAAAATTAAAATTCACTAAATTTTGAAAATGGAAATGCTTCGCAATGGCTCCTTTGACATGTCACCTTTCCTATTGTCTTCTGACTCTAACTTTTTATATTTTTGAGCTCTGGTGCTGATGCAGACACTCCGTCTGGCAATAGAGGCATGTTAGCATTTCCAAGTTTCCAGCCTGGAGTGTTGGGGTTTTGTCTTAATGATTTGCGGGTTACAATAAAGTTTATTGTAAACATTTGCCAATAATTTATTAGTCAATAATTGATGTTATGCAGTATAATAATCTTCAGAGCATGATACTAATTGCTATTCATTTTCTATCTCTAAGCAAATACCCGAATACAATGTCTGTTTTTCAGATTTCTGCTAAAATGATGTATAGTTTGTTTTCTTATCTACAGAACTATTGGCCTCCCAGTGGCTCAGTTGTAAGTATGCGGGCTCACACCGCTAAAAACCGGGTTTCGATACTCGTTGTGGGCACAGCACTGATAGCCCATTGTGTAACTTTGCACTTTACAATAAACAAACCGAACTACCTAACCAGCAGAAAACTTGCAATATATTTGTAGTTTGTTCAGTTGTGATATTGTAGGTACTTTACTACGAAGAAGATATGGCTGACAGAAAGATAATTTTAATTATAAAAGACTTATAGTATGTTTGCGTGTCATCGAACAATTGTTTTAATGATAAAAGTTTGGATAAGTTATTCAGTTAAACTGATTATGTCAGGTATGTTATTAACTGCTGTGAGTATTATTAAAAACATGGCCGTAGATCTAAAATCGCCAAAAGAAGTTCAACTCGATATAAATATGTTGCCTTTTAAGTATGAAATATTAAAGCATCTTTCAAATACATATTTAACACACCTGCAGGAATTAAGATAATCGACTCCTATGAATAACATAATACAAAATTAATTAGTAATACCTTCAAAATGATACAACTTTGGATAGGTCATTCTGTTAAAGTCATGGTGTTAAGTACTATAAAAACATTACTGCATATCTAAAATCACCAGAAAAAACTCAGATCGATATGAATACTTTTAAATGTGAAATGTGTAAAATCAGAAACATGGAAGAGAACTTCACTAACAAGTTGTGAAACTTCATTATCAGAAAAAGTTCTTCGATAACAGAACCACTGCTCTTTGTGATATAAACAAATCTTATTTGTTCACTTGCGTTTTAAAAACATACTTTTTCTCTATGTGTAATTTGTCAAACCTATATAATACTGTACTATTCAAAACAAAGTACATGCTAGTCTAAGAGTTGACTTTGATAACACCTCACAAAGAAACTTTGTCTCGTCAGAAATGGATGTAAGAGATGAATTGTGGTAAGCTACGTCAACAAAGTAGCTTTGTTATCATTGAGGAAATCACTAAAATGTTTGGGATGATAGTGGAATGAAATATAAATCCAAAATTATAAAATCCATATTTATATAAACAGAAAACGTTGGCTTCATTTCGTAAGAACTCAAGAAATATTATCTTAGAACAAAAAAGAGGATGTTTGAAAAGGCATAACGCCTTATTTGACGGATCTATATTAACGGATATGCGCTATCCATAATTAATGTTGTTTTTTTTATTTTAATGTTACAGATGATGAACCTATATTTCAAGAGACATTTCAAGATCAGATACTTAAACCAGGACCTCCAATATCGATAAAATGTGTTGCTCAAGGTAATCCTTTACCCCAAGTAACGTGGTTATTGGATGGCATGCCATTACCCGCGAGTCCTCGGTTCTCCAAAGGCGATTACGTTACTGAGAATAACATTGTAATTAGTTATGTGAATGTCTCCAGTGTTCGACCAGAGGACGGGGGAAACTATCAATGCATAGCCAAGAATGAAGTGGGTGCACTCGAACATTCTGGGAAAATTCAGATATACGGACCTCCATTCGTCAGATCAATGAAAAACATGTCTGTTTTAGAAGAAGAAACTCTAGAATTACAATGTCCTGTAGGAGGCTACCCGATTGATTCTATAATCTGGGAGAAAGGTAATTGGCTACAGGGATCAAGTATACTTTGAATGCACAATATAGATCGCTAGTATTTTTGTTGTTGTTGTTCTACGGGAACAGGCAATTTTTTCAACAAAAAAAAACTAACTGAAAATAATGCATAAGCCTAAATCTGGGAATAATATAGACTAAGCATTTATAATATTATCAAATATCATTTTATAACTTTATTAAATATCAGGTTTTATAGCTTTTTCAGAAACAAAATCTACAAACAAAACTATAAATGAGAAGACTACAAAAAAGGCGCTGAGTTTCATCATTGAACAATTATGTCCAAAGGTATAAGTATAAAATAGTTAAGATCGTTCAAATAGTTTTTTAAAAATAAAAAGTCGACAAATCTTGACTAAAAGACATAATTATACAAACATGTTCAAAAAATAAACTCTTATTAGTTTGTTCCTGATGAAAGAAAGATCCCTCAAAAAACATTCACTTGAACAAGTATTTTGAAGTTGTGATTTATTTGTCAACTGTTTTTTTTACTCACAGAAATAAAATATGTTTAGTAAACTAAAGTTATTAGAACTTTCAAAGACTACATCTACCGTAAGAAATTAGGAATAATAATTTAATTTATTTTTTCTTTTACCCGAAGGCTCGGAGATAAGATCAAAATCTGAATTTTAAAATACAGAAGATAAAGTTGACTTTATCAGATATCTATATATATTAATAAATCTTGAATGAAACTTATTTAAATTGAAATTATAATTTTAAAAATGTCCAAATTACTTGAGTGGTGAAATCCAAATGAAATTATGATTAAAAAATAAGTTATTACGCCCCAAATTTAAAAATAATGAGTATATCTTGATTTTATTTCTAAGTGGAAAATAATACTTGTAGTGGCGCCTTTTACTTAAATGACATTAGACTGAAAATGCCTATTTGAAAATAACTGTTACTAATATAAAAAGGAGAAAAATTACAAGAAATGCAATGAGAATTTAAGAATTGGAACATTAGGGAATGACTTTGATTGGCTGTGTTCTCTAATGAGAAAATACGTAAATCAATTATACCACCTAGGGGCTACTATAGACCTTATAATTTAGTTGGGCCTCTCTCTCTATATATATACATATATATATGTATGTGTATAATCTTACTGCATCATGACTCCTTGATGCTCGTAAAGCGATATCAGCTTTCTCGTGTACTTTTACTGCAAATGCTATTAATATCATACAATAAGATATTAAAACAGACCATCATTATAGAACTTGTGTGATTACTTACCGTTTCCCTGCAAATGGCTGGATGGTTCTAGAACTACGATTACATTATAAACAGGAATTAGCGTCGTATATAAAAGCAAACAGGCTTGAAAAATATATCAAAAGCTTGATGTGTGATTTGAGTAGTATTTTACCATGTATACATCAGTATGTTTAAACGATATAGAGCCAGAAAAGCACAATATTTCGCAGAAGGGAGTGTATAATGTTTTCCATGAAATTGGGAAAGTGCAAACTAAAACAAGTAGGACAGAAAAGGCTTCGAAACCACACCATAGGTCAACCAGGATTTATCTGAATAGTGAAACTACACCATAGGTCAACCAGGATCTTACCTGAATAGTGAAACCACACTATGGCTCAACCAGAATCTTACCCGAATAGTGAAGGCTGTATTTACAAAAGAAAACTTTCTAACTCGTAAAATCATACGACGAAACTGGCACGTCTCCTGGTAGCGTTACAAAGATGATGAAGAATGATTTGAAGTTAGTGAAGTTATGCCCCAAAATCAAATTTATTTCATAAAAAATATATATTCGAAGAAACTTGAATCAGAGCAACCAGTTCGACCGCAAAATTCAGACTAATTGGTTTTTACGACTTTGGTCTACTTAAAGCAACCACTTCGACCGCAAAATTTATTCTAAATGTTTTTTTTTACGACTTTGGTCTACTTAAGCGTACTCTTGGAAGTCATAGGTCTGAAACATTAGCCAGTTTATGGAAATTTGGACAAGACAAAGGGGACATTAAAATAAATGGCTGTTCTTTGAAGAAGCTAGATTTTCTGAGAAAAATCATTGCATGGCTATTGTTAAGAAGATAGAGCAAAATCGTCGGATTAGATGTAATCTTTGCCATTAGTATGTCGATCTTAATCACCCGCTCGTTTTCTAAGTGCGTAAATGGTCCTTTGTAATCATTAATTCAAATACCGCAACATACGAATATATAGACTTTGAAATATGTAGATAAAAATGTATTTCCCTTTGTAATTGTGAAATTATTAGATGTGGAAAAGGAAACGCTGTCTTATCCACACAATAAGTTCGATGATATAAGCGCTTCTGTAAGCGTTGCAATAAAAGAGAGACGGAAGTAAATGGCTTGAACGTGACTTAAATTATTCCAATAAATATGTCTCCCGATGAGACAACGGTAATTCTACGGATTTACAGTAATAAAATTGCGTGGTTCGATCCCCGCGGTGGGCACAGCAGATGGTACAAAGTGGCTTTTCTTTTAAATAAATAAACAAGCCAGTAAATGTTGTTTACGTAGGAAAATTGGATAATAATAATAATTTTCATTTTGTTTGAATTAATACCCGAAATAATATATTCAAATACCTATAGAATGATAGGCTTCCCTTTTGTGAGTGTAAAACACTTAATTACACATTTCGATTTTCGATACCTCACTACTATAAAGGCTTGGTCTGATATTTCATTGGTGGTAGTGTCCAGGGTCACTGTTGAGGAGTGGAATTCTCCGAAACTAGTCTGGCTCACAGACACGCCCCCAATGAAAGAATAGACAATTCCAAGCTTTTACTTGTTGCTAACCAAATGTTTAAACAACTCTATTCAATTAAATACCGGAAATAGTTCCGTTGAATTAATGTGATATAATTTTCAAAATAACGGAAACTATTTAGTTGTTTAAGCTAGAGCGGGAAGCATTAAAAAGTTTGCTGGTAACACAACCTGCATATTTATCTAGTAAGTTATAGTAGTTTATGATAAAACTTTTGTATATGATGCTTATACATCAAATATAAATGAATGGCTACTTATAAGAACGTACATTTTTCTATAAAGAATAACTTCTTATGAATGCAGGATAAAAGAATTTTCAATATTCTCCTGCAAGAAATAACCTTTTTATTGTATTGTTAATATAACGAGGAGTGAGAACATATTATATAGGCCGGGCATGGCCAGATGGTTAGGGCGCTCGTCTCGCAATTTGAAGGTCGCGGGTTCGAATCTCCGTCACACCAAACATGCTCGCCCTTTCAGCCGCTGGGACGTTATAAGTGACGGTCAATCCCACTATTCGTTGGTAAAAGAGTTGGCGGTGGGTGGTGATGACTAGCTGCCTTCACTCTATTCTTACACTGCTAAATTAGGGACGGCTAGCTTTGCGCGATGTTCAAAAACAAACAAACGTATTGTATACGCTCACAGAATATCAAAGGAAGTAAGTTCCGGCATTACATCTAGCCGGAGAACCCGATAAATGATTGTCAATGAGGAGAAACTTGAGCACACTTTCTTGCTAATCCAATAAACTGTATGTTTTTTTTCTTCAACCAACGATGGCTAGTAGGAGCGTTTTCATACTGACAGTGTTCTTATTTTGAGTAATGGATGTTGAAAGTAAAATAGCCTGGTTAATTATTAGAGCGATGCTTCACGGAAGCAAACACGCGTGATAAGGTGTAGTTGTTCAAAAGGTAAACTATATATTTTTAACTAAATGAATTTTCTATAAAAACATTAATTGAAAAAATAGTTATGATAATCATAAAGCTGATGAAATGATAAATAAACCTTATTTTTACTTAACGACTGATTAATTACTGTTTTCGAAATGTGAGTTTTTGATTTTAGTTTCATCAGTTGAGTATAACCTATCAACGGTTAATGAAACTACGTAAAAGTATTTTATTTAACGAAAATTCTCAAAACTAATAGAAACCTCAAAATCTTCTACAACATTTCTGCTAAAGTGTGAGAAAAGAGGAATGCCCTTAAAAATTCAATTTCTTCAGAGATCAAATAGAAACTTTACAAAAAGTCATTTAATACCGAACTCACTATATTATTTTGTGAGTCCACAGCACTGAAAATGAGGCAAGTGTTGTGACAGCTTGGAAAGTAGTTTATAACGTAACAGTTCTTTTTGCTAGTATTGAAAGAATTGAATAATGTCGATTAACATTTCATTCAAAAAATATCTTTTCACACAATTACAGGAGGAGAAAATTGTAATTAATTTGTAGATAAGATAAACGTGTTTTTCCTCACTTTACATTTGATATATATATACATTTTAGCTCGTTTGTGACGTGCATCGATGGCTAGTAACAAGTTTCAGTGAAATAGATCAGGGATTTGTTGGTTAAAAAAAAGCGAATTTCTGCGAGCATTTTCTTTCCTTTCGGGTCCCCCGGTGGGACAGCGGTAAGTCTACAGATTTACAACGTTAAAATTAGGGGTTCGATTCCCCTCGGTGGACACAATAAATATCCCGATGTGGCTTTGTTATAAGAAAGACACACACACTCTTCTTTCGTAATTATTACTTTTACATGAATAAAATAAACTGAACATATATATGTTCTGGTGTAAGCTTAAATCCTCTCAAAAAATTATTTTAGTGCTCTTGGAACTACCTTCCTTCGCCATTACGTTGTCGACTGACATTCTATAATTCACGGTGTAACAAACGTTGCACACTATATGTAAATTGTCTTATTTATTATCTGTTTAAGAACCAAAATGAGGTATCTGTGTTACAACAGAGTATATCCCAGTTTTTATTATAATATTTATAAAGAGAACCAAATGCCAATTTCTGAATTCTTAGTTTTACAACTAATGTAACAAAAACAGTTTCACATATTGATCCATAATTAATTATTTGTAAAATAGCATTTAAAATAACACGTTCATGGACTTTATTCTTGTCTCTAGTATCAGTACCTTCGTGTAATTCTACAGTTGCAGAGAAAACGTTTTTAAAAGAGTTACATGTCAACTAATTTGAAATACAATTACCAAAAGAGATGTTTCTGTCTTGTTTCTGAATGAAACGACCCTCACTTTTACACGCTAGATATTCATTTTTTCACAGAGATTTGCCTTATGCTTAAAATACAGTTAAACCTCTGTATATGATCAATTAAACGTTTTACTAATTCATCCTTAGATGGGAAATGGTCAAAGTTATATCACTATGCAACTCTTGTTTTAAGGCATTATTCTCATAGCATGAAATTGTTTAGCTAGTTTCTATTATAGGAATATTCCTTTGCAACATAGGATAATACAAAGTTTTGAAAAACCATTGAAATTAAGACAGATTATGATCAAAAACGAAGAGAAAAAACGGTTAATGAAAGATAAATTATGACTCATAACATAGACCACTTAAAACTTAATTGTTCAAGCATAGGTTGTCCGAGAAAGGTTATGCTGCTATAATGATTTTCATCATCCATAACAGCAATTTTCTGTTGAGGAATGTTTAATATTAAGGAAATATAGGGTAAAGATTTACCTTTTTTCTTTGCTTTGCTTCAACTCAATACTTTGACACACTTGCACAAGTCTTCACTTTGACCTGACGAAGGCCTTCAATTCCGTGTGGAAATGTCATCATCCTGTCATATCTATTAAGATGTAAAAGTAGTCCATTGTAGTTAATGGATAAGATTATATCATTAAATTTCAAAATTAATGTAAGTGGAACGATGACGGTAACAAAATCAACGTGAGCTGTTACTTTCTATTCGTAGACCTTGTATTTTGTTTAGCTTTGTAAAGATTTTCCTGACCAACATAAATTATGTTAACGTTTAAAACATAGAGTCAATTTTATGCCTCTTATAATTACTTGGGAAGATGTCGCACAACCAACTTTTCTCTTAATACAAATAAATCAATGGTATATTTGTCAAAACATCTGCTTTTTGTCTGGTATAATCGAGATTCGGTTTTGTATTAACGTAAGATCGATCATCCAACAAATATGTATAAAACAATGTCTCCTTGTATTGATTATATGCTTGTCAACAGGCAAAATAGAGGTACGTTAGATACTGAACAACACATTGGGCTGTTTGGTAGCTATGCTGTATAAAAACCTATCATTATTATGTTATAATGAAGGGGAAAGCCGTGCTAGGCACAGCGTAAACCGTGCAAGCTTTTCTTTTCTCAGGTGTCGTTGCATGGTATCTTTTGTCTCTTATGCATGTGCTATTCAATGATCTTCAAAACCCAATACACGCCTACAGCACATGTGTTGTTTAGATACAGGCAAATAATCGACTCTTCAAAGAAAAAGTAATCAGGTTAAAGCTAGATCTTTTCGTATATATTCTTCTCTAACGTATTTTTTCTGCTCTTTATTATACAGTGTTATTGCATATATTGGAAAAAATATATATTCATGTTCTTTTAAAAGGACCTTTTCATTTATGAAAATAGTATCTTGTTATTTTTTCCATTTTATTCTTTTTTTGATACTTTGAATGGTTACAAGACACAACACATAGCAAAGAAACTATTCATGTATTTGTGAAGAGCTAAATATGTGTGTGTGTGTGTAAATCAGATTTTATTTTACATTTTGTTTTCCATTTGAGTAAACCCAAGAATCTATATTTAATGATTTTCTGCATCCTTGTGAAATATTTTTGATTGTGGTATAACTTCACATTGAGAAATCGATAAAATACATATATATAGTGCAAGTGAAACTGGTTGAGGAAAAAAAACACCAATAAAAAAAAAGATGCTAAAGGGCACCAGGACCTCTGAATCTTCTATTTAATTTTCATACAGATAGATTATAATATAAGACGATACTAAATGAATAAAAACTACACGATAGTTAGGAAATTAGTTAATAAGTGATCGGCATACTAATTTTGAAACCATACGTGTATAAAATAGTATAGCAAACTTTATGAATAGTCGCGTATAGCAAATAATATAAATTCTTGAAAACAACTGTTGATCACCACTGCTCAACAGTTTATTTATGTATGTTACGTGACAAATATTTATATGATGAAGCTCTTGTGCGGAGCAACAGTCGTACTTTTTATATACAATACTTATGTGAAATTGAGAACTTTTTCATGAATTATCATTATAATTTAATATTTCCATGTTATTAATAAAACAGTTGTCCAAATAAAGATTGTCCGTTACTATTAATCTTCTTGATTCTGATTTTTAAATAATTTTTCATGTCTTGACTGAGGGACGAAATTTCCTTATATTCATCTATTAAGCTGTTTTAATATTCTGTAGAGTAATTGAAATAAGTAAATGTGAATTTCACCGTAGTTTAGTAATATAATCGGTTCAAAACTGATCTTCTCAGTATAAATTAAAATTTTCATAATTACATTTTATGAATAACTAAAAAAAACAAAAAAACAGTAAGCTTTCGGTTTTGAACCAAACGAAATTCTATATAATATTTCAAAAGGTAAAGAATTTTTTCAAACTATTTTCCAATGCATGTTCTGTACGTGAAACATTTTTTTTTCGTTCTCCTTCCAAAGGTGGTTCTAGATTACCATATAATCAAAGGCAGAAAGTGTATACTAACGGCACCCTTGTTGTGGAAAGTGTTGATCGAGCCACAGATGAAGGAAAATACGTTTGTCAAGCTAAAGACAAGAAGGGTAGGATGGCCAAAAGCAGCGTTTACATATCTGTTTTAGGTGAGATTTCAGTTAAACAAACTTGTGTAAAAGTGTTTTACTATGATTCTGCCAACAGTAGTAATAACATATAAATATTTTATATAGTATACTTGTTCTTTGGTGTACCCTTATTCAGCCTGAGAAAACAAACGAAAGAAAATATCGTCAGCTCAGACTCCAAAGAGTTGCAGCTCATGGAAGATTAAATAATGATGCTTGATAGTTTCATTTTCTTACACTATTTGACCGTGTTTGAATAAGGGATTTTACAGAAGATGTGTGGAAATTAGTTGACTCTAATAAATATTTGGTAACTGGAATATACCTTCAGTGACTTACAGGGAATGTTTCTACACCCTAATAAAAATATCACTGATCAGACTACTGTTCTAAAATACCCAAGTAAACACAAGTTGATTTCAAGCTGTCTGTTATGAACATAATTGAAAACAAATCCACAATATTCAAGCTTCTACTGGAACTCCATGTTTTTGATACACTAATCTTTCTTTGCTGATATACATACGATGAATTTGATATATTTTTGAATAATATACGGTGCACTTTACAACTCACACTTTCGTTTTCTGATTGTAGCTTGCTGTATAAAGTCATCCTATGGTTCTTAGGTCCCTAATGCGATGTACTACTACTAGCTCGGCACAGTGAACCACGTTAAAATATTGTTTCTAGCTTTTTAATATATTGATAACTGCTTATTAAACTTTTATCATATACGAAAATTTTGGTAATCATAACACGTACTGAAACATTATATTGATATAATGGTTTAAATGCTAAAATGTCAATGAAAGGCCTGAACAACTGAGCTAAACGAAGCGAGGCATAAAAGCAGATAATTTTGCATAATAACAAGTAATACATGTACAGAATATATCATTAGAAATGTGAGAAACTGCATCCTTTAAGACTTAATTTTTCACGACTTGATGTTTTAATGGGGTTTATTATCGCTAAACAGTGACTTAGGATCTCTAATATTATATGCTGTAGTGTTATGGAAAGATGTATAGTATATGTTAGAAATAAAAAGAAATGGATAGGTAGGGTTTGATTTTGATATTCTAAAATAAGTACGTAATTGACATTTTGATAAACACGTACGCATTGAATCAAATATTCACGAGTATTGAGACTAAGATATCGCTTGTATTATAGGTTTCTCAAGTTAAGATATATTGGTTTCTACAGTGATTGATCTTGCACTATTTAAGATACAGTTCTTTGGAAGAGTTTGAGGGTTTTAAAAGACTGGGTTATTATTCGAAAGAGATAGTTTTTCCCATAACTTTCTGAAACTTTGAATAGCCCAATATAAGAAAACATAAGACAAAAATATTATTGCGTTATTATATTTAATGAATCGATATCAGTCCAGGGGTATATAAAAGATAAAGTAGAAGTTCTATTTTTCGTTGTTATTATAGATTTTCCAGTGTTAACTAATTTTGTTTGCTTGGGCATGCCTCTTGTAACAAATAAATAGATTATTATCCACACAAATTAAAGCAGAACAAGTTGAGAATGAAAGTGAGTCATTGGACAAAAGTAACTTTTATTAAATCAGCTGTTAAAACTGGTGTCATAAACACTCTGAATTGCCGAAGTTTTTGGGTGCATCTACGACACTATTAGACAATTTTCAAACTATATATATCTCAGAGTCATTATTTTCTTTTTTGCTTGTTTGATTTTAAGTACAAACTACACGTTGAACTATTTACGCTGTGCCCCTTGCACACTTAATCCCAATTTAAGTGTGATAGGCGCTCAGCCTACCACTGAGCCACAGGAGGGCCCTAAAATAAATCTAATCGGTAAGAATACAAGATGTGAAATGTAGCTCATTATAAAACACCTCATTGAAACTCAGAAAAATATATACTAAAATAGTACAAAATTCAGAAAAGACAAAAGCTATTTTATGATATTTATAACAAATATATATAGCTTTATTGGCTTACGTACTCAACGCACGTGGTTACACATGAGGAGAGGGGGGTTCATATCCAGTGCGATCCTGTATGGCACTCCTCGCAATGTGGTTCAAATTAGGTTTGGTGACGATGTGTCTAGCGGTTTGTTAGTTATGAAAGGACACACACGTAAGCTTTTGTGAAATAAAGGTTTAAGGTAAAGTCGATACAGTAAGTGTTACTATATCAAGTACGTTATAGCAGACTGAAAGAAGAGTCTTTAGACGAAGTTTTCACATTTACGTTTTTAGACTTGTACCGTAATATACAGAAATTGGTTTGTTTACCTCTTTTCAGTGAGATGGGCGTGTTAATACACTACAGATTCTTATCTGTTGCACAAAACATAAGCCGATATCACTAAAATGTCATTTCTAATCGTACAAAAAATCGAAGTGAAACTTAAACTGCTTTACTAGCACTGAGAGGCCTTATTTATTCAGAGCTTATACGGATTAGTTAAAAACAAATCGTGATTTAATTTCCTTAGACAGAGAGCTAGTATATAGGTGAATGTGACAAACAGGACGTTTCTAAACAGAAATATACGTTAATAATAACTCTCAGAGATAATGGTACTAAGAAAGAAGATAGTATAGTTAAGACAACTTCGCAAAACAAAACACAAAAAAAATGGTATTAAGGTGAGAAGTTTGCATCACCAGCAAATAGGAAATACGTATTGCTATACCGTGTGAGTTAAAAGTAAATTGACAGGTAAATAATTCATAAATCGAAAGTTGTAGACAAATAATTGTTAGGGGTATGGAAAAAGTATTTTTGACTCCAGGTAACCGTCATTACACCTTTAAAAGGTCTTAAACGTTAAAAGATATTAAAAAAAAGTCCTTCTACATTAAGTGGCACATAAATTTTGTACTGCAGCTGCTCCTAAATCACCTAATTAATGTCACAATATTCATTTGAAGAACGTAGTTCCACTGTATAGATACTGTCATCGTAATGCCCGGGCTGCTACCCGATGTTTGCCGAACGGTTTCAGAATGAACGCCATCTTTCACATCAGGTTATAGAAAATGTATGTCAGCGGCTGCGTACTAAAGGCTCACCTTAAACATCGTGCAGTAAGCCCATGCACAGCAACAAATACTGATAACGAAGCCGCCATATTGGCATTCGTCACGTTTTAGCAGAACTTTGAACACAGATATCGATTGTATGTCACCATTTCGAACACTGTTAATGTGTTGATCTAATCCACATTTATATCTATAACTGTTGCTGTTATAAATCGATTTGAATATTTTTTTGGGTTTAATTTTTTACTTGTTTTTGCCTACACCTTTGAAATTTGTATGCTTAACTTATATTAATGAAACTTTCAAAGGAATCATCGAAGTTAATCTTGAATGGCCTCAATGATATTGTATAAGGGTAGGTCCACTGTATCTCGTTCCAGACCACAAACAATTACTTTACTACACCTGTCTATTTCTGAATTATTTGTTTGCCAATGAGCTTTTGAGTCATCTAGTATATCTGTTAGAAGAATAGTTAGTAAGTAGAATAAGTGACCACTTTTATGTATCAATTTGTACTGATAATGTGTACGTTTTACGAAACACGTATTAAACTTCAACTAATATTGTAACAAATGTGTATTTTATTACAGTTAGAATTTTTGTTTTCAAAATAGGTTAGAAATCACATGAGTGGTTTTTAAAATCTCTCTATTGATTAGAGTGACGCTTCGACTGTCCTTCTACGGCTATTATATATTTATACAGATCTTCTTCAGTTATATATCCTTACATTGGAAAAGTGAGTTGATTATTTTGCATCAGCTTGGGAAACCTGTTTCAGAATTAATGTGTTTCTCTTGTAGCGATTACCAGCAATGGATGTTGACGGGCACCACAGTTTTAGGACAACAAACTTTATCACATAATTCTTCTTGGTTCAAGAGGAAATATTTTTATGAGTTAGACGACCCAATTAATCAATTGCAAACTCTATAAGAACGACGTTTTAACTACCCTGTATCGATCATCCTCAAACTTAATATAAACTTATGTACGATTTCAACATAAGTACATTCGTGAGTCGTTGTTCCACCCCATTATATAACAATATGATTTCAAGGTGTGTACACACGTCATTCTGCGATTACTACACAATATACAGAAACAAAAGATATGTCGTATGACGGGGATATTTATGTTGCATTAATATATAAAAAAAAAATATGAGCAAGAAAACGTGGCTGTTATAAATGTGAAATTCGAAATTTAACATGACTTGAGTGATGCATAGATAAAACATGGAATGAATGAATGACAAAGTAAGTTAAATGCATGATACAGTTTTAAGTCCTAGGATATACATGTCTCTTTAAACTGACAAAACAATTTGGAAATTCTTTTAAACATTTATTTCACCACTTTCTTGTGGAATCATCGCCCATATTAGTATATTTTGATATAAATTTTGTCTTCACCATAGTTGATTTACATACTTTTAAGATTTGAACGCCCTTATGAAAAGGATCTTTATCGAAGTATGGATTTTTAAGTTTTTGATTTAACTTTCTGTATTCCTAACTTTTGTTTTCTGTCTAAAGTGCAACTTTTTGGAGTCTAGTGCGTACATTAGATGCTCTAAACAATAAACAGCGAAGACATGCAGTCTGAATAAAGTTTTTAAAAACTGAAATAGCTTATTTAATCGCAGGTGATTATTTACTTTTCTACTTCAATTATTTTATACTTCCCACATATTACTGATACCTCGTAGATCACGCTTATCGATAATGATATATATAGGTAGATCTTTCAAATGTACTATAGTATTTATGTAATTTTTCGAGCGTCTTTAACCTATTTTTTAATGTCGAATCAACGAACTGTTCTATAAAATTGTTATTTGGTGAGCATATAAATCAATGTGAGCTTTGTATTCTTGGTTGGTTGCTTCCTGGATTAAATGGCTGCACTATTCTGATCCGAGTTTTAAATCAAGTTCTAGTTTACTCTGTTTATTGTTGTTTTTTTCTAATTCAAGTTAACTTGTCACTGTTTCTATCTTTAGATTTATCGTAGAATGGAGCTTATCAAGTTTTTCGTTGCACATATTTTGGAGGTATATAGTAAGAGAAAGCTCGCAGATAACATAAAGTATTTGTAGATTTGTAAAGTGAAATCGTAGAGGCGTCTGTTTTAGTAATCCTTGCGTTTAGGAAAGAGATGATTCTATTTTATTTTCTTTAGTTGGTGGAACATATAACTCCTGGTTTTATGATAAAAGTAACATAAAAATATGTTTGTTTTCTTCTGTTCGTAAAACAGTTTTGAAATGACAACATTATAAGTTTTCTACAATGAAAGTGACATGGATACTTCTTCAATTGAAAGCGATGTTGCTAGATACTTTAAACTATATATTATTAGCTACACGGTCGGACATTGAACATCCCATAGCTACACTGTTCTTTATATGGACATTAAAACAAAGCATGTACATGTTAAACAGTAAATTTATAGAAATCGTAATATTTCCAAGATCGTGGTGATATTTTTGTTAGCTATCATTCTTTGTTAGTCGTTTATTTGTAATTATCAGAAGTTCACCTGTTTCCTCAAAAATATGACTTCATTATGCTCATAAATCGTTGTTTGCTAATTTATTATTATGTTAACAAAATGTGCTTCTATACTTAAGGATAAAGCTTACTTTTTATCTAGAATGGTATATTTTGACCGTCTTACGAAATCTTCATAATTACTGACGTTGTATGAATTAGTGTACACAAGCTATTTATAGAACTACAAGTTTGATTGCATAGTCCGGCTTTTTCATAGCACATAAATACCGATACAGTTAAGAGGACACAGGTATATCATCAATAATGTTTCATTTCTTTTTTTTTATTGTGTTCACCAATTCAATTATATTTCAGCAACTTGTTAGACTGGACCGGTTGTAGCAATTTCAGATTACCCCTGCTTCACCTTACCCCACGGTTACTTAAAATCGCGTTCACATTACCGGGAGGTAGGATGAAATCGATTTCAGATTACCCCCTCAAAACAGTTATTTATTTATGTTTATTTAGATACTTATTTCATGCATAAACACAAATAAATTGACAACAACAATAACAAATAATAATAATTATCATTAAACTGTCATTACCCCTGTAGTGCTAGCTAAATCAGCGAGGTGAGTAATCTGAACAGTGCAGGGGTAATATGAAATCAGGTTCAGACTTTCCCCGGAGGTAATATGAAATCGATTTCAGATTACCGGGAGGTAACTTGAAAGGGGGGGGGGGTTAGCTTGAAGTATTTACACCGGAACTTGATATATATATATATATATATTACTTACGTAAAGAATTCTTTCCTGTATCGCTGTTTAGTTCCATTTATCAGCTGAAAGTAATGGCTTTGACGTTCCTTAGAGTGTGTACAGCTCTAACAGCGCCAGTAGAGAGTTTAGAAAATTGTAATTTTGCTTTTCTTGGTATCACTACAGATACAATTCTTGCTACATCTGCTTCTCTAGGTAATAGTGTTTTAGCTGCAGACTCCACGTTACCGATCATGACTTATTCTACAAAATATTTTGTAATGAGAACGAAATTCAAGTCTAGGTATAGCACTTTATTATTGGATGTTGATAGGAGTGTTCTTGAAATTATTTTTTCTTTTGCCTATGTTTATGAAAACCATTTTCTCCTAAGTAGTACACAGTATCAGCTAATCCTGAAAAACCTTGTTTTCTATTGTTGTCGTCTTAATCTATTAGATTTTTCTTGTAACTATTTCTTCAGATATTTATTTTCTATTTGTTGAATGATACATACATAACTTGTGATAAATAAATTCAATAGACGAGTCAATGATAATTTCAACCAAATTCTGGAACTTTGGAGTCCAATGTGTATTTTGGAACATAATAACTCAAGTATAAGGATATACATTATATTTTTTCTATTCCACTAATCTATTTGTTCTTAACTACACATTTATTTTCAGTTTAAAACTGCGACATATTTTTATATGAATATAAATCTTGATTGAATAAATAGCATAAAAATAAATGAAAATTAAAGTAGAGAATCTGCATAAAAAAGTTGTTAAATCTCATAAAACAACACATGAGAATTGTATTTTGAATGTAGGCATTTTATGTGTATTATTTCCAAAGTTACAGTTGAATGACAATTAAAAGTTATTACACTTATTCTGCAGTTCGTCCCGTCATTCAACCATTCAGTCTTCCGACTTCCATTCATTTTGGACAGAGGTTCAACATTATGTGTGTTGTCACCAAGGGTGATCCACCGGTCACCATTAGTTGGTTAAAAAATGGTCAGAAGTTTGCAGATTATCTAAACATAAAAGAAGTTCGTGTCACTGATTTTTCATCTACGCTAGTGTTCGATTCTGTCCGCCCAGAGTACCATGGTAATTATACCTGCTTGGCCAGTAACGCAGCTGGGACCTCAAATCATACAGCTACCATGATCATCCATGGTAAGTTAGGGAGAACTTTGATATATAAAATGTTAATAATATAACCAAAGCGTTATGAAAATTTTAGATTGTTTGTTTTGGAATTTCGCGCAAAGCTACACGAGGGCTATCTGCGCTAGCCGTCCCTAATTTAGCAGTGTAAGACTAGAGGGAAGGCAGCTAGTCATCACCACCCACCGCCAACTCTTGGGCTACTCTCTTACCAAAGAATAGTGCGATTGACCGTCACATTATAACGCCCCCACGGCTGAAAGGACGAGCATGTTTGGTGGTATGCGGATTCGAACCCGCGACCCTCAGATTGTGAGTCGAGCGCCTTATCCACCTGGCCATGCCAGGCACGAAAATTTTAGAAATTCTAAACATATTGTAAAATATTATTAGTACTAAAAGCTAAACTTCATAAAACATCAAGAGATTTAAAGACGTTTAGTTATACAGATACAGTTTCAACTCATACTCATTATCTTTAGCACTGTTAGCGATACTATAGAAACCCACTGTAATAGTTAAGAAAATTCCAAGTGAAGTCTATCAACCAGCCTATATTAATTCACGATTTGTGTTTGTACATTTGTTTGTCCGCGAACAAACTTTTCCTACAGTCATATCATGCAACATTTACAACTACTCAAGGCTATTATCGCGTTTTCTTATTCCGAAGAATATACTAATAAGAATTTCAATGTTTGAAATACTTTTTAAGTCCAAAAAATCACAGCGAATGACAAAATGCGTTCTTGATTTTTGTTTTAATATTTCTATTTTATTTGTTGTTGTTATAACTATCATGGCACTTTGTTATTATTCGTTTTAAAATTTCAACAATCAGACATTGTTGGATGATTTTTAGGAAACATATGCGCTAAGTTATATAAATGTTAATATCCTAAAATTTCGTCAAATTTTATATTCTAGCTTTCTTCACATAAACACATTAGATTCATCGAATAAATGACTCTCTTTCTTTCGTTTTTCTTTTCTTTTCCACTACTTTTTAGTGCAAAGTTCTTAGTGAGTTAAAATCTTAAACTGAAATTAAGAATACTGGGTTTAGACAAATAACATTTTATTCGTGACTTCAATTGACTATATCGTATGTAAGTAATAAAGGCAGATAAATTTTTAATTTTCAGCATTAATTATATAGGTCTACTTTGATTAACTGCATTAATAGCTGTTGATAAATACAGAATTATTTTCAATTATTACAATGTTATAATTATTCCGACTATTATTCTTGTCTTTATTATGTGTATTATTATATTCACAACCTTCCATTTAGCAAGATCTGATAGCCAAGTAGTTAGAGTGACCGTATAGAGGAATAAAGGTTTAGGGGGATCGAATCTTGGTAATTCCACAAAAAATCTTTTGGTTGTGACGCGTACAAAATGTCTGATATAACGACTGCTAGAGAATTCACTCCACGAAACTTCGTGAGAATAATTATACCATTAGTAATACTAACACCTCGTCTCAATAATTCTGCGAAGCGATTTTCAATTATATTTCTTATATAAATATATAATTTTAATTCCATGATAAAACAAATATATTCTGATCGTTTGTATTAATAATGGATGATAGTAACAGATATGTTTCGATTACCTATGTTAACACCATCTGGTAACACAAATATTAAATTTGTGTTAAATAGTAGAATGTAGGAAAATGTTAAAAGCTCAAATTTGGCCATTAGTATCGTATTTAAAGAAAATATTTTTCAAAGCAACAAAACAAAGACTATATAGATAGTTATTTCTCAGCAATAACATATTGTCTGTTTTCTAAGTTCCACCTACTTGGAAAATTGAACCAAACGATGTGGCTGTGACAAAAGACAAGAACACCATCATTAACTGCAAGGCTGAAGGTTTTCCGTTTCCAACAATCCACTGGAAGAAAGCGAAGGGTAAGAATTTCCTAACAGATAATCGTTATATGATAATAGGCTTTCGTAACTTTTTGAAATAACACTTATTGTATTGAGTTACATTTTAAATAACTTAATTTAAATGGCAAAAACGCTTCGAAATTTAACTCTATGCTCAAACCTTTAGTAAAAATAATTAATCGAATTTTAAGAGTTTCATCCATTATATGATTCCATATTTGCATTGATGTTGTGCTGCTTTTATTAAGGAATATTGCGTTTCATTAAGTGTTTTCACAATGATTATTTCCTATATTAGATAGGAGAAAATATGTATGTTAAAACCTAGACGAATTTAACCGATGATACCGAAACCAGTTCATTAAAGGTCAATTTATCAAGCAGACAGTATCACTGCGTATGTATGTATGGCTTGGACTGTTCATCGAAATGTATCATCAATAGGTCATCAGAACTTTATAATACTATACAATGTTTCTTTTATAACAATATCTATGTAATGACTGAGTCACAAGTTTGAATTTCTTGTTCTTCTTTCTTCAGCTTATTTTTATTACATGATAACTCAAAAACCTAAATAATGGTATCAACCAATTTCACTGAGGTGACATAGTTTCAAACTGACTATCCGATTTTATAAGTATTATTAATAACTAGGAATAATTAAAAGAATCACAACTCTAGTGTAAACGATGTTA